CCCCCCCCCCCCCCGGGGGGGAGGTACATCCGGTTGAACAACCGAATGTAAAGCCCAGAGGCCAATAATAGGCGTGGATTTCCTCTTAGGCTATAATCTACTGGTCGACGTACAAAATCAACCCCTCATAGACACAGTAACTTCACTGGAAAGGCAGAGATAGCCAGTAGGCAAAGAAATAGGTGTAGTCAGGACGGTGACGGGGAACTCAAGATATTGTAGGAAGCCGAGCTGTTAAGCGCGATCAACTTTGCCGAAAAAAGAGTGTGCATGTTTTTAGAGAGGGTCACCGGCCATTTGTCTTTCAGGTAAACGAGCGGCACCTGACAAACAACAACAACAACGGGCAACGTAAGACATGAAGTGTAATGACCGCGAATGTATGCGTGAGAGAACGAGAATGGAATTGGAAGAGAGAAGAGACAGTAAGTGTAATGACACCAAGTGCATGCGTGACAGAATGTGTGTGTGAATGTTTCCTATATAAACGACATAGGTCGCAGGTTAGAAAGAGAATTAGGGAAAAAACAGCAAACTTCAAGTGTATCAGTCTCTTCTCTGTTTTCGACGTTCTGCACTTCATCATTTTGTAATTTTCATTATATTGCTAATAAAGCATTAATTATTTCCTACAATATCATCGAATATTATGTGAGTATCCTGACGTGATACAACTTATCGCGGTAGATAATGTAGTGAAACAAACCGTCACCCATCAAATCGAAGTAACGTCGGGATAAATTAGTTTTTGATGAAAAGAAATATTATTAATATTAATAGTATTCTCCTCTAGTAATTCAACGTTAGCACAAATAATCAGAAACCTTTTCTTAAAGACTCTACCATTACAAACTTTTTGAGCACTTGCTTTTTTGTAATCATCTGTATTTCTGTTCTAGTATTCATCTGTTTCTAATCTAACGTTGATATGTATTTATTCTAGTATCATTTCCATTTCTTACAAAATAAAATTGTAGTTTATAATTACAAAAAGTAAATGATTTAAGAAATATACGTATTCATGAGCATTATCAAAAACTGTTTACCGGGGCTTGTATTAACTCTGGTTATTCAACATTTTCTTTGCATTTCTGGTTAACTCAATGTAAACTTGTACTGGTTAATCTTTTATTTGATTTTTAATTATAAATAATTTGAAATAAAATTGATACCGCAATAATTTTACTTTTGATTTTTACCTTATATTGTCACGAAGAATCGCATTTAAACATCTTTCCAGTTGTTATCGAATAATTGAATGGGATATATTATGATAGATAATATTAATGATCTGTTATGTTATTGTAATGATTTTGATTAATTAATGTACCTCTTCACCAAACTGTCTACAATAAATATAGTTTACATGCATCGCTTTCGAGTTTAAAGACGATTAATTGTTGTATGTCTCTCTCGAAGCGCCTTATTACACAGAAACAATACTTATACAGAGCATTACATGCGTTGAAAATTTACCATCGGGTTGTTTCGCGCCAGGTGTTATAGATCTCAAGAAGTCGTCGGGTGTCATGAAGATTTCGTGAATGTCGTTGTTAACCACTTGTAAGGTAGCGAAATATCGAAATACTTTGTCTGGTGTAGAGTAGTGCCTCATGCGATTTTCATATTCTATGATCTGTATTGCAAATATTATAAATGATTTCATTGGATTAAAACAGTTGTATATTATGAACTTATGAAATATAGTATCTTATATTTTGTATATTTAAACATTATACATAAAAGAATAGAATTTATAAAGGTGTATTACAAAAAGTTTTATCAAACACTATTTTATAATTTTTATGAAGAACGTAATATTTGTAAACTATTTTAAACAGAGTAAGTAAAGTTTAAAAAATATTTGATAACTATTCTAAGCAACAACACTTTATAGAACAAAATTTCAACAAATCGAATATTTTTATTTTAATTCTCTGAAACATAAAATCAGAATATTTTAAGTTTACACCTGCAATATACAGGGTGATTCCGAGCTGGTTGTACGAGCCGAAAGAAAATGAATCTCCATGGAAGAATAATTAAAAATATAAAATAACATTTTTTATATGAAGCCTGATTTACAAATACCCATATTAATGTTGAGATATAAAATAATCGCAGATGAATTTCTGCTTGATAGTCGACACAGTAGGAAATATGTTAACTGAATACTATTCAATATTACGTATATCTGGACGAAATTCAAACTCAATCTTTTAAAATACAGACTGCGAACAAAATACATTTTTACATTTTCAATTTCAAATAAGGCTAAACTAATATATCTATTGCTTTTTTATTAGATATGTCATACGTTGATAGAAAGATGGCACCCGAAGTGACACAGGAGCAAGAGATTACCATATGATTGTACACATTGGCAAGTAATATGTTAGTACCAAAAATACGTGTAAAAATGGCATGTCTCCTACATATATCGAGCGACTGAGATATTCAGTACAAGGGAAAGCTAAACCATAATTGCTTATAATTATATAGCAAAATTTTTGCTTGTATGTTTGCTTATGTACATTAATGATTGTCCTCCTCATGTCTGATGATTTACGTACAAGAGTGTTAGAAATTTGAGATTCGTAAAGGTTGGTAATACATGCACCCACTACATTTCACGGTTAGTAGTTGTGATCGCCTTGCTAACAGAAGTTAATGGTGATGTTAATTAATAAATGGATGAATGAAATATTTGAAACCCTTGTTTCCGATTTAACCTTAGCGAAATGCCCATGTCAATTTGTGCTAATACAGAGAAAGTTGCACTACACATTATTTTTCCCCACTCCTTATGTCACTTGCAAAATTAACAGATATAACTTTTATATTATCCTTCATTTCATCTATATACCACGATGTTTACACAAAAAAAATGAAATCTAGTCCACGAGAAGACAGTGACAAAAAAGAATATATGTATAAATAAGATTTACAACATTTTTTTTCGTAAAACTTTCAAAATTTTCCTATACACTTTAATATAAGTAAAACACGATTTGCCAAGTAAAATACTTTTCAATAAAATATTTTTTAATGAAAACAGTTAATGTAACGTTATCATTTTATATTTTCCTAAACACGTCTCAATAATATTAATAAGTTTGAATAAACAAATTGCAGTTTTAACTGTACATTTTGTATCGACACACAACTTTTTGTAAGAATCTTCATATCTCAGAATGTTACTATTGTGACTTATTGTTAACTCTTACATCGAACCACTCAATTAAACGTGTTCCTTTCAGGTGTCACTTTTCTGTAAACGCGCCGTGCTTAAAATTAAAGCACAAACACGTGGGCAACCTGCCGAATTTTAACATTGACTTATTTGAAAATGAAGTATCGTATAAACAAATACCTTCCTATACTTTTTCTTCTAGAACCCTTTCAGCTTGTATCTCAGTTTAGAAACATCCTGTATATGTCAATTATATGTGAATAGTAAACTAGCATAAAGATATTATCACATCGCATGAAATTCTAGTGTATAATAAAATTAATTTTTTTGTATTCTTACTCTAAGTAACTATATATTCAACAAAATGTATTGATAAATTGGATTACTTAAAACATTGTGTCATATCAATTTTTCTTGCTTAACAGTGTAGTGAAACTAAACCTTGATCATCCGATTAGAGCAAATGTTTTCATTGTACAGAATGATAAAAGAAAAGGATTCAAAACTTTAAAGAGAGGTAATACTTCTTAAATGGACAAAAAAATTATTAAATTAATAAACACGTGTCAGCGTGTCAAATACATGTTAAAGAAACATGTATTTAAAAGAACAGTTTAGAGGTAGAATCCACCTATAATAGCAACGACAAAACATTTCTTAACGCCCTTTATAAGAAATAAAATTTTAATTTATTACATAGTTAATATAAATAAAAGTATTGTAAGAAGTGATCATTTCAACGTTTGATGATCTTATAGACGGTACATATTGTAGTGAATTGGAGCGAAAAGTGTGGCAACGGCACAACGAAACATTGGCAGTTTTCCGCAACACACAAAAATGTACACAACCGAAATAATGTTAGGTTTACCAATAACACCGTGGAACACGATTTTTGTTTTGTAATAGCCACTAGGTGATTCTTATAGAATTCCTTATCTTAAATACGAATCCGAAGACTAAACTGCTCGGTCACGTGCAGTTTTCGAAAAACATGGGTTTTTGTAAAAACGGTCGATTTTTTCAGAGAAACAAGTGTTACGTGGAAACTAAAAACGATAGGCAGTGAAAATTTATCGTAAAAATAGGGGAGAGTTGCCCGAATATGTAGCTATACAAATGTTGAATACTGTGTATCATTAAACGCTTGTAAATGACGATCAAAGTTTAAAAAGGGTAGATACGCGTATTTTGTACGCACTTCTGTTACATTTTTACGAATAGTAGGTTAGCTACCACGAATTTGCTATGTACCATTGAGTTTTGCAGACATTTCCGGAAAGGAAACCCTTAAAAACATTTCAGATATCTAATACTTTCAAGATATTAATAATCGAAAGATAATAAAATTTATATCGGTCATCTTGACTGATTCGATAGTTTTAGTGTTAATCATCGTAATGATATTACTCGAATATGTGTATTCACATAGTAAACACCAAATTATTTAAAACCGGGCGATCGTGAAAAACTTTCTCATAATTATTATGAAAATTTATAAAACAATTAAACATTATATATACATATAAGAAGTGACCGGGGTCCAGGTCTATACAATGCGTAGTCACGGCCCTGCATAGCTGTGACTGGTGAGCGATGGTCGTGTGACGCGAAAGTTCCGTGCACGCGCTCTTCGCGGACATTTTCTTACACTGTCCCAAAGAAAAACCGATCTCACGCTTCCCGCGGGGTGTTTTCTATTTAGAAATGTCTGCAGAATCCAATGGTGCATAGCAAATTCGTACTAGTCAACCCATTCGTGAAAATGTAACAGAAGTGCATACAAAGTACGCGCATCTCTACCCTTTTTTAAACTTTCATCATTTGAACTCTATAAGAATCACCTAGTGGCTATTACAAAACAAAAATCGTGTTTCGCAGTGTAATCAACCATTTGTTACTTTTATTTTTCTTTCTTTAATTGAAAAGCTACGTCATTTGTTATAGTTATTCGTGAGTACCCGCTTCTACGTTGTATCAATTATTTTCCCTCCAATCACGTAAGTGAACGGTTATTGTTTCTTAAAAAAGTACTTTTCAATTATTGTACAAACAAGGCAAAGTAATCTGGGTGAAGTTGTCGATATGCTGCGCCCGTTCAGATTTTGGTGATTTTCAAATATGTTGTTAGGGACATAATTTTCAACAACTCTTTCCTTTGTATGTTGTCAACGGAAGGACTTCAGTTTCTGAGATAGTCGTGAAAAACTTTTGCTACTATTACACTGAATTCTGCATACATGCGCGTATCCGTGAGAGAAATATCGTGTCCCTCACCGATATCTATTATTTGAGTAAATCTCATTTCTATGTATTGTACAGAACAACGTTAGAGATTATCACTACTGAGTAGAACTGATGAAACTTTGGTAGAGAACAGTATCAATGTGTAACTCGAAGAGTTTGAGGGACCGATGTGTGAAGGCAATCTTATAACCATCCTCCAGTTGAATCACCGCCTGTGTCAACGTCTTCTGACGCGCCACATAGCTCTTGGATCACCGACGCCCTTCGAACCATCAAGCACGTCAGCCAAGGATGACGAACAACCCGCCGAATCCCCAAAATCCACACACACACACACACACGCGCGCGCGCGCGCGCGAATAAAGAAAGCTCAGTTGCGAACAGTTTACGCCACGCATTGTTATTGCATTCCTCGACTCCGATGCGCACGTGTTTAGTTACACAATTCAGTATAGTAGTAGCAAAAGCTTTTCGCGATTATCTCGGAAACTAAAGCCTTCCGTTGACAACACATAAAAGGAAGAGTTGTTCAAAATCATGTCTTCAACGACATATACGAAAATCATCAAAATCGAAACGGACACAGCACATCAACAACTTGACCGTAATCTGAAGTTCATAGTGATGTCATAAAAAAATTCTTTCGATAATGCAAAGGTTGAAGTGGGTGTTGTGATCCAAAACCGCAGCCCGAAAGTCGCAACGACGAGCGACCCTCCGTTACGATCAACCTATCAGCGAGCTACCCGCCAAATGCTACGCATGATATTTTCGAGTCTTCCGAGATTTCATGATACATGTTGCACTCAAACAAACAGTGAAAAACGTTCAAACCCATCGATCATACAGAGATCTGCATCGTCGCATGTTTCAACATCTATGGGGGCCTTAAAAAACTTAAACGGCCTTAAAAGTCTAAATCATCAATGCGGTGTCTTTCAAAGTTAATAATTATCAAATCTTCTTCTAACCAAGCAAAATTGAAATTTACGCAAGATCATACGAATTCGATCAAGAAACAGAAACCGCAATCTTCTTGGATATGAAAGTATTTATTTTCGATCGTCCAGACGGCTTTTAATATTATTGACATGATCTGCGTGATCAAAAAGAGAATGATAATGGTAGGACTTTTTCATTAAGGATTTTTAATAAAGACGATTCCTAAGAAATCATCACTTTCCCCATTATTATTCATTTTTCATAATCCCGACTATCTTAATTATAGGTTATTCTTTTGGAGATCTCAACTTGAAATCAATACAAATTTTAATTTTTGCATACGATTAACTTTCACTAATAACTAGCAAGGTAAATTAATTCTTCACTACTAACTGCTAACAGATATTCATGATCATCATACGCACTGATGCTATGGTGATATGGACCCTATCGAATATCACTGGGGAGTTTTAGCACAAAAGGTGTATGCTAATGGCAAGCAAGACTGGTATACTGAACAACTTAAAAATTATAGGAGTTTATATTCGCGCCTTTCACGTCATTTGTTTTAAAACAAATCTATCTCGTGATTCCGGGCGACGCCCTGATGAAGTCAGGCTGTCATGAACGTTTACCGCGATACTCGAAGTGTCGAGGTTCTCTTATATAATGTGAGCAATTTGCAATTATTTAATTATGTATCTTTATCTCATTATTTACGTCTACTACAGAACAGAATAAAAGTGGAGTGGTTTCATATTAAATCGGAAACATTACAGAAATTAATAGATTATATGAGGGTGAACAAAATATTGAGACCCTTCGTTTTCTTTTATTAATAGCATTATGACAAGTGTTTTTTTATCTTTTTAAACTGTGATTTGAATAGAACAATATAAAATGAACCTATGTTTATTTCATATAAAAGTAAACATTTTTCTATTAAAGTTATATTACCAATATCAATAAAAATTTCAATAAAATATGCGTATCATGAAATCTATTAAGGAGAACCAATTATGATGAAAAAAAATAAAAATTATTATAACGAACAGAAGTTTTTGTTAAAAAATTAAGGTGAACATACCATTATTTCGATAACTATATATATAACTATATATACGAAAGCTTAGCACTCGGATTAACTTACGAGCGTCGGCTTATTTTGCTAAAGGTATTTGTAAAAATTCAAATCGTAAAAATGCGAGATCGACAGTCGAAATAAAGTAACGGAAGGGGAAATAATGTGAGTACGGAATGAAAATAAGAGTTTCATAGAAACAAAATAACCGTAAAAAATCATTGTCTGTTTCCATTCTCTTATGTGGTCCAAAAAATTCCAAAAACACGTGAACTTACAATTAGAAAAAAATAAAATTTATAAGGTATTTATGTTTATAGGATTGTTGTTTTTATCAACAGATCGGTAACTGCGATATGGTGAAAATTGTAATTTCAGATACTTTATCGAATGTAGTTAATTGTCTTATGTTTAGTTATACTGCCTTTCGTTATACATGTTTTCAGTATTCTCATTTCAATTTATAGTAAAATTCAAAAATTCAAACATGTGTAGTATATGAATTCTAAGTTTTATAACCTTCGTTTAACACATTTCTTTGTATCATTCATATGTTTAGAGGCAAGTAGATAGTTGCGTTCTCAATTCGTTCGCAATACATTTCATGTTAACGGACACCAGATGTGGCCCACTGTCGCGACAGCAGCGGTGATGCCACTGCAACATATTTAACAATTTATCGTAAAGTTATTACTTTCTACACAATGCAAATTTCCAAGTTGAACATAAATCGTTATATTTACTTCGAACACACAAAGATTTTATTATATTGCAGTATGTCCTCGATTTACCGGACCACTATTCTTCACGATTTAGATCGTCCAGTATTTAGGTTACCCACAAATTCAATCATTTAGATTCTTAAATTATACTTTAAGGCATGTACGATCGAATTTTGCAAATAAGTTTCGAAGAATTTTTTCTCGAGTCTTCATTTGTCTGAACTGTTAGTAAGAATTAAGGCTCATCTGTGTTCAATATAACAATAACACCTCGCTTTCGACATATCACCATTATTGATTGAGTCACGTATAACTTTTGATATCTCAGAGACGAACTGATTTGTAAAGAGGTAATTTACGAGGGTCGACTGAAAAACCAATGAATTTCCCTCTATACCTCGAATACGAATGCAACTAAAAAATAAATATATATGTTTTTGCTAACGCATCGTACTTTCATTTCCTTTTTCTCCCATTTCGATTTTTTCGTGTAAACGTTGTTACGTTCAATATATTTTTCCCAGCACGAGCCGAAACTCAGACTACTTTTGATGGGACAAGTCACTGCTGCCTTAACTTCGTTGTACGATTTAAAATAATTTCCTTCGAGAGTCTTCTACAATTCTCGGAAGAAATGAAAATAGCAATGAATCAAATCTGGGCTGTAAGCTGAATGTGACGTTGAGTAATCTAAAATTTCAATTTCGCAAAGCTATCTCATTGACATCGCGCAGATATCAAACTACGTCAAACTAATTTATCGAGATTTAGTACGTTTGTAGAGAGAAGGTATGCACGTACCAACTTCAAAGTCTTCACGTGAACTCGTATTTCATTTCTTTCGCGAGATACAGACAAAAGTTCATTAGTTTTTTGTCGATCTGTATGTTTAAACTTCCAAGTTATATGTCAGCGAAGAGTATCCATTTCTCTTGCTTATAGTTGCGAGAAATATGCAGAGTTCTACATTTTGGTACATTATATCAGTTATGTAAGTTACAGAAGCGCTGATATTGATAATTAATTAGTGTAAATATGTACAAAAACATTATTGAAACGGAATTGCATCAGTAAAAATTAATTTTATGTTTTACAACCTGTGTTGAAATAAATGAAATTTACTATTAAAAATGCGAGTATTCCGTCATTTTGATAACTTTGTACTCCAATTGGCACGACTAAAACAAGCTCCGATGCAAATAAAGAAAGTCTTAATTTAGCATTAAGTAAGTAGAAATGTGTTAAATTCGATTCAAACAAACAAAAGGGGTATTAGTACAGTTAAAAACAGAACACAACAGGAAAATCATAGTAAAAAATAAAAAATTATACCATCTGGTTGCCTCATGCCAGGAGTAATTGCTCTCATAAAGTCATCGGGAGTCATGAATATTTCCGTACCCATTAAACTCGATATTTTCACAGTTGCAAAGTAACGAAATATTTTGTCAGGTGTCGAATATGCTCGTAAACGATTTTCGTACTCTATGATCTGCAATCATTTATTATATAATAGTAAGTATATATTCCATTTCTAATTTCAAAATACAGTTTTTCTTGGTTAGTGTCGCACTTTTACCACTTTTTACATCTACCTTATTTCTATTTTACAAATCTCAGATCTTTTAAATACAGTAAGATCACGTTTAACGATATCTTAATTAACAATAATTTGATATGGTTATTATCACCGAAAGCTGGCTTTAATTAATTAGTTGTATTTTTTCTTATTCCTATTCGTTTACCCAAGCCTTATGACTGTCTACACATTTTTTTCAACGACAGCTTGGCAAATACTTTCTTGATCTTGTTTTACCATATTTTTCCCCTTTTGTATTTTATCCGTTTCATCAAGTTTTTTATTTATTTTCTCTTTTTTCTTTTTAGTTATATGATCGTCTATCGCCTGAGAACAGAGAAACCATTGGTATCCGATTTCAGAGAACGGATCAAGCCAAAAAGAATTTAAGTTATTAGAATTATTACTATTGCATATGTATGATCAAAACCGAGAGAAATTAAGAAGAAAAAAAGTAAAACCTTTAACAAAATACAAGAAAATATTTAGTAAACGTTAATGCTCGGTGTTAAGGAAATTCCCCGTAAATATGACCATTACGTTCAATACCGCAAATGTGTGTAAAAGAAGGTGATTAAACAGCGCTGAGGCAATGAGATACTGATTAAATCTATATTTCTTAGATTAAACAGTTTCACGTAAACTTATATGTACACCATGAAACGTTCACAAGTATAATGCACTGACAACAAAATAAAGAAATATGTTGTAAATTATAATTTATGGTATAATTTACAAGAGCGCACTTTTTTATGTAAAAAGGAGCAAAGAGTAGGTAAGAATATTTGATTACGACCTTGTCATCGAAATATTCCATTATAAATAGTTTGTATATTTTCTACAAAAACCTTTCGTAATTTTTTAACCATACCTCTGATAACACTGTCCAACAAATTTGAACATTTTTTGTGTTTTGTAATATCCAGTAATATCCTTATAGATAATATCCTTATAGAGCACTCCCAGTTTTCGAAAAACTTGGATTTTTGTAAAAACGGTCGAATTATTTAAATAAACAAAAGTTACGCTAAAACTAAAAGTGAAAGACAGTTCAAATTTATCGTAAAAAATAGAGGAGAGTTGCCCGAATGTGTATGGTGTGTTTTATGAAAAAAGCGTCCTTGGAGATATATAGACTTGACATTTTGCGGTGTTGCCGCGTACTCACGCATCGTCGACTAATCAACGGCGATCTGCTTGCGTGGAACTCAATCCCACTGTTCGTGTTTTGACCAATGTCCTTTCGAGTTCCCTGTCTGTGAGTCCTCACACCGCTCTTTCTTTGTAGTACACGTATTCCTATCCTTATCGCAGTAGTCCTACTTCGACCGTTTCTATGGCAATGAGACAATGTGTCGATGTTTATTCGGGAACGCGGAAAGCTCACGTTACACCGAATGAATGGCGGATGGCGATTCGTTAGCGAATTCGGGCTCTTTTACGCTAAGAGTGAAAGGAAACTTACATGTAAAACTATAGAAAGATATTTAAAGATAAATACGAAGATTCTGACCACTTTTGTCTCAACAAACGATTTTACGAAGGTTACATCAAATTCAGAGTGAAAATATATATATATGATTTAATAGATAGAAAAAAATAAAGCAATACGAAAAGCAACAAAATTTATATCGAAACAGTTCAATGCAAATATGGGAAAACTTGACTTTTACGCGTGTCTTTCATAGTAACACACTTTTGCAAGATTAAGGAAATATTTATTAAATTTTAAGTAAAAAAATTGTCGACGTTCAAATTATTACAACTTCTTGAAAAGAAATCGTAGGACATTCCCAGTGGGCTCATTTTAAGTCATAAAGTTTCTATGTTTGCAATTTATTATTGGTTTTGATGTAAAATATTTGTATATCGTATAACCAGTGGGAACGAAAATTCTCCAAATACAAACATCTCTACAAGCGTTAAAAAATCTTTGGATTTTGGTTTTTAAATCAGTTTATAGATTGAAATTTTCCCTTTACAATGATACCTTAAAAATTAAAGTAAGTACGATTTTGCTCGTCGTTTTATTATATTCTCTTAAAAGTGCGCTGCTAACATTAAAATAAATTTGGATACACTAAACACGAAAGGAATATACAAACGAAACATACACTAAATTTACACATTAGACACAGATTATGAATACATACATGTTATCTTGGGTTATTTTAATGCCAGCGGCATAGTATTTATTCATTGTTGAATTAAATAATAAAATAAATCGTATTTCAAGTTTTAGAAAATTATTGTAAAGGAATACATCCAGTCTTTCAATATATGGTAGAGATACTCGTGAAAAAAATTTTTTTAATATTTGCAGAGATGTTCGAGTGTAAAGAATTTTATAAACGAAAAAATATGTTTCTGTCATCACCAGTTGTATGATATATTCAAACATTTCACATTAAAACACAATGAATTGCAAAAGTAAAAACTTCCAGTCTTAAAATAAGCTACGATTTCTTTTCAGAAGGTTACAACAATAGAAATGTAACAAAAGTGCGTACATAGTACGCGCATCTACCCTTTTTTAAGCTGTGATCATCATTTACAAGTATTTAATGATACGCAGTATTAAGAATTTTTATAACTACATATTCGAGCAACTCTTTAAAAAATTCGACTGTTTTTGCAAGAATCCATGTTTGTCGAAAACTGGGGGTGACCCAGCAATTTGGCTTTCGGATTCGTATTCGTATTTATGTTTTATAACAAGGAGCTCTGTAAGGCTACTACAAAACAAAAATCGTGTTGAACAGTGCAATGAATCATGTAAGCGCACTGCGACAACGGACGAAATATCTCGCAAAATACTGCTATAGTATGTCCCGTTTATTTGTTTACACTTAAATATTTCTATAATTATTGATAATTTACGTAACTATTTTATAATCTTTTTTTTAATTATCAACTACATGAAAATAAACGATGGTCACTTGAAAATGGTCTTAAAATATTTTAAAAGTATAAAAAAAAGAAATTTATAATATTTTTTTAAAAAAGAAGATTATAAAGATATGTATCCTGCGGGTGCGAGCCAGCAACAAAAAGGCTCCCAGCCGTCTCACAGTCAGATAACCTAAACGGTTTGCGAGACACATCGTTAAAGTATAATAAAAGGGTATAGCAGGATAAGGAGCTCAAAAATGCCCTTAGACCGAGTTTTCTCGAGGAAGTTCCCTTCGATAACTTAAAAATAAAAAACATTATACACTAATTTTCAGTCCTCCATCTCAACCAAAAGGGTAGTTATAGAGTAAATTCAAATTATCAGTTTTTGTCCCATTTTCCTTATTTAATAAAATAAAAATTATTTAAAAAATTCGGAGACATTTTTGGCATAGCAATGCATGGTTGAGAATTTTTCGAGATTTTTCCGTTCTAAATTCTTAGCAAGAAAAATAAAAAAAAACAAAAATAGAAAAATGTAGATTTCGCAATGAAGCATTCCAGCGACAACTTTTTAATTTTTTCAGCAGTGGACATATTGCTACGACAGACATTCTCAAATTTTTTCAGATTTTTTGGCCTGCTGTGTTAAATATATTGCTAAAATCCAGTCATTTTGATTGGTTTTTGAGACTGGTCCCGTAAATGGAAATAAAGCTATTTGATTTAAATTTGGCTGCCATGCTCCCCTTCAATGTAGTCCCGTTGGGTAGCTATGTGCCGATCCCAGCACCTCTGCCACTTTTGGAATGCCTCCTGGAAGTCTTGTTCTTGAAGTGTGTCAAACACCTGCTACGATTCGGGTTGGATCTCCTTCACCGTGCCAAAACGGCGACCCATCAGCTTCAATTTCATCTTGGAAAATAAAAAGAAGTCACAGGGGGCCAAATCTGGTGAATATGGGGAGTGAGGAAGGACGACCATGTTGTTACGAGCACAAAACTGGTGTGTTGCGAGAGTTCCGTTAACTGCATTGTCGTCTTGCAGCATCCAATTTTTCTCTGCCCACAGTTGTGGTCGTCTCCCATGAATGTCCTCCCTGAGACGTTTCAAAACGTCACACTAAAAAACAGCAGTCACTGTTTGACCCGCAAGAACAAATTCACGGTGCACAGTCCCGTGAATATCGAAAAAACAATGATCATGCTCTTGGATGCACTCTTGTCCTGTCCTGCCTTCTTCGGTTTTGGAGATTGAGATCTTCTTCCACTGCGAAGACTGCTGCTTGATCTCAGGATCGTACCTGTAGATCCAACTTTCATCACCGATAATGATCCTTGACAAGAGTTCTGGGTCATCCAGGAACCAATCTTGACGGATTTGGAGATGGTGGTCCTTTTGTTCTTGTGACAGAAGCCTGGGCACGAATTTGGCAGCAATACGGCGCATGTTCAAAATTGACTTAAGGATTATTTGAATCAGCAGTGTTGTACATATGTGGCCGCCCTGGCCTCTCGTCGTCCTCCAGCGATGTTCTGCCACTTCTAAAACCATTTCCAGTTTCGAATCCATCGTGATTTCGTCAAGGTGAACGTGCACGTGCTAGTACAAACTTGTGTAACACAGGTTTCAATGAAGGTATCGCTTGTCTTCAAGGTTGTTATTCATCTGTGCTCCGCGCACATGCCAATCATGTGATCCGCTCGGTCACAGTAGACACATTCCCGGAATTTAATGATCGCACCTCGTATTTTAATTGTCGGTAAATCCAGCTTTAAAGTAAATTCTAAGGTGGGGGCCGCAGGGAAGTAGGGCCCTTCCAATTGCGATCTCGATCTTCTTGGGAGGGTTTTGGTGCCTAAAACTCCTTTCACTCCACCTCCTTGTGGTAGTCCCTGGGAACTTCCCCCTTTCGGGGTTGACTCTGAGGAGCGAAACCACCCCTAGCGAGGGCGGGAATATCGGAAACGTACTTGGCAAAGAACTTAAAACAATCATGAATAGAAAAACA